GGGGGGGAATGTCTTTTTCCTGCTTCTTAAGAAACCCTGGGGAAGAGCTGGGTGGCGGGGGCAGGGGACAATGTGGGTTTCCTCACATTCTGCATGATGCTCAGTGGTAAAACACGCACCAGAAAACGCGCCGGGTGCGCGGTGTGCACCACTCAACGCCGGGGGTGGAGTCAATAGCAGGCTAGCGGCGGCTGTCTGCTCCTTCGCCCTGGGCCTGCTGGCCCTGCCCGCGGGAGAGACAGCCTCCCGTAACAACTCGGTGGGCAAAAGCCCAGGGCCAGGAATCCATAAGTATCGATTCATTGTCTGCAGCGTGATTTAAATGTCAGTTGGCAGACCAGGGCAGATGAAGATCTGTAGCCACAATGAACGGCGAGAGAGAGGCTGGAAAGTCCTTGGGAGGCGCGGAGTTAAAACGGAAATCAAATGGACGTGTCCCTTAAAAACAAAACCGGAAGGGAAGGACGTGACGGATTAGCTGAGTTTGCAAATCACGACTCAGTCGCCCTGCCGCCCCGGTTCTAGGCTCGCATTTGCTGTCATGTCTCGGCTGCTTTGGGAGGTTTTCAAGTGTCTGTAATGGTTTTCTCTCTTGTTTGGGGAGCGTTTGGGGAGCAGACACAAGAACGGAAGACCCAGGGGAGCCAACAGCCTGCACGGGCCCCTGGGCAAGGTGGGAGGGGCTGACTCTGCACCCCCCCCAGAAGGGGTGGGGCCTCAGGAGAAAGGGGCGGGGCCTTAAGAGGAAGGAGCCAGGATACTTCCCTGTTTCTCCACCCACAGACCATGATTGGTCTGGAGGTGGGGGAGCACCTTTGCCCCACCCCCCCAGAGGTTTCCTCCAGGTGCCCATACCCCTGACAGTGGAAGGAGACTTTGCATGCTCCCCCTTCTGCCCCTAGGTCAATCAGACCTTGGGGGCAGGGGAGCGTACGAATTCTCCTTCTCCCTCCCCCGCCAGGAGCGCATGGCACTTCTAAGCTCTGTGCTCCTTGCAGGGTGGGGATGGGGTGGGGAGGGGAAACTTCGTGTGCTTCCTCCCCCCAGGCCCTATTTGGCCTGGGGGGCGGGGAAGCGGCAGTGCCTCTGCCAGCCAGATCCACCCACCCTTTTCCCACTCCTGCCCCAGACAGTGGATTCACACTTCTCCTTCGTGGCATTGGGTGTGATGAACAAAGACACGAACAGAAGCAAATCCGAGTTCCGCTCGCACCTTCGCCCTGGCCTGGGTAGTGCCTCTCTCATTGTGCTCAGCCCACACCCTAGAGCAGGGGGTCCCAACCTTTTTCAGTCCCCGGACCCCCTCGGCTTTTAGTAACCCTTCCCGCACCCCCTATTCAATAGGAAAGGAGATCAATTCTAGACTCTAGAATCCACAACTTTTTTCACTAACACGACTACTTTTGGAATATTTCAATTAGGATAATCTAGTTATTTACCAAATATTCCCCAGACCCGCTTGACACGCTTCTCGTATCCCCTGGGGATACGCGTACCCCAAGTTGGGAACCCCTGCCCTAAATCTTCACTCCTCTGGACAGCCCCTGCTATTTCCCTGGTAGCTGGTTTGGAGAAACAGCCACCTGCCTCCGCGTCAGCAGGACTCGCCGATCCCCCTTTGGTCAGCAAAATCAACACCAGTGACAATGTCTGGCGAGTCAGGCAAACATCTCCTTGAAGAGGAACGGCTTTCCTTGGCGGGCAGGGGAGACGGCCCGGCCCGGCCGCTCTGACACGGCCCTTGAGAGAAGGGCGGCTTCGTTTGAAATATGCCGTAACAGTAGGACAGGTTCCCCCAACACGCTACATGCCTCGCCCACTCCATGCAGATCAGGGGAGCCAGCAGACTTAGAGCTGTCCCCTCTCCTCTAGGTGAGAGGATTATTCTAAGAGGGGTGGGTGAGATTCTGTGGCCTGCACTGTGCAGGGGGTCAGACTAGATGATCATAATGGTCTCTTATGACCTTAAAGTCTATGAATCTATGAATCCTTGGGGGCTGCTGTTTGAAATGTCCGGTCCGAGCCAAGAGAGGCTGAACACCACAAGTAGAATGCGGGAGGAACAGCGCCAGGCACATCTTGAAACCTGCATACGGAGGTGGTCTCCTCCGCTCGGAAAAGCTTTCCTGGCACTGGGAAAGGTTCCGAAAAGGGCAAGACAAGTCCTGAGGGGTTTGGAACGGCTGCCATTGGAAGAGAGATGAAAAAGACTGGGACTGGTCAGCTGAGAGAAGAGGAGACGACGGGGGTAGGACAGAGGTCTACACGACCATGAGTGGGGTGGAGAACGGGAATAAGGAAAAGTTCTTTACTTGTTCCCGTGTCGCGGGCCAGGGTGGCGCCTCCAGCTGGCTGCTCTGGGAATTAGCTCACTGGATGCCTCCCTCTTGCTGGTGTGGCCCGTGTTTCTTTGTCCACGGCGTCCTCTTCAGGACCCGGCCCTCCGGCAGCGCCCACTCCAGTCTCTGAGGGGGCCTTTACCCAACCGTGCACTCCAGGGTCCTCCCTTCCCCAGGGCACCCTGTTCTCCTCCCAGGGAACACCCAAGGCTGCGTCTACACTGCAGCCTTCTTGCGCAAGAACTTTTAGTGCAAGAGTTCTCGTGCAAAAGTTCTCGTGCAAGAGCGCAACCACACGGCCATGTGCTTTTGCGCAAGAGCATCCGTGGCAGTGTGGATGGTCTCTTGTGCAAGAAAGCTCTGATGGCCATTTTAGTGTGGCCTGTTCCCGTCCACACTAGCCTTTTTGCACAAGCGCTCTTGCGCAAAAAAGCTTATTCCTTGTGGGGAGAAGAATAAGTCTTGCGCAAAAAGCCCTCTCTTCTGACGATCTACTGTCAACTTTCTTGCACAAGAACGGGCTTGTAGTGTGAACGCTCCGCACGTTTTTGTGCACGAAGCCTGCAGTGTAGAGATAGCCCCAGTTCCCCTGGACCCACCTTGCCTCAGTGACCCCTGGCCAGTCTCCATCTAGCGCCGGCCTCAGGGGCAAACTGCCATCTGGAATGGCCACTCATCACTGGCAAAGGAGTGTGGACTTGCTGCCCCTGCCTACCATGGCTGCCTCTCTGCAGCCCTAGTAGCCTCGGGCCTTGCTTCAGGCCCTGCCTCCTCTGGGGCTTCCCTCCGGGCTGGGGTTTTGTCCTTAAAGGGCAAACACCCTGTCACATCCCATAACACAAGAACTAGGGGTCACCAAATGAAATAAATAGGCAGCAGGGTTAAAACAAACAAAAGGAAGTTTTTCTTCACTCAGCGCACAGTCAACCTGTGGAACTCCTTGCCAGAGGAAGTTGTGAAGACCAACAGGGTTCAAGAAAGAACTAGATAGTTTCATGGAGGTTAGGCCCATCAATGGCTAATAGCCAGGCTGGGTAGGAAGAGTGACTCTGGCCTCTGTTTGTCTGGAAATAGGTGACAGGGGAGGGATCACAGGATGATTTCCTTTTCTATTCACTCCCTCTGGGGCACCTGGCACTGGCCACCGTGGGCAGACAGGACACTGGGCTGGAGGGACCTTTGGTCTGACCCCGTGTGGCTGTGAGGAACCACGCTGGTCACAACATCTAGACAAATTACACTCTTCTCTGTCTCTTGGCTCCTGGCACCAACAACCGTGGCCTAGGGCAGGCGTATGGACCCTGCTTCTCAAAGGTAGGCCGGCGTCGATTAAAACACCGTGAGGCCTGTCGACAGATGGCTGGATTCCACGATACAGCCCCCTGGAGGTGGCCGTGTGAAAAAGGGGGCTTGACTGACCTCGCCTGAAGGGAAGCCCGTTTGAAATGCTTTTGATTCGGGTATTAACGAAGGGGGCGGGAATAGCGCTGGGCTTCAATGATTTACTAGAGCTGGGATGTACATAAATGATGCGGGAAATCAGGCCAAATAACTCTGCATCTTTACCCAGGCGGGTCAACAGGGTGTGGGGGGAAGCTGGGGGCAGCTGCCCTGGGGCCTGGCGATTCTAAGGGGCCCAGGGCTTCTGGCCGCTGATGCTGCTACTGTGGCAGTGGTGGCAATCGGAGCTCTGCGCCCCATTGAATCGCCATCGGAGTGCGGCGCCGGGTGCCTCGAGGGCTGAGGGGGGCTGAGGGCCCCATCTGACCCCACCCCTTCCTCCTGAGGCCCTGCCCCTAATGCCTGGGACTCCGCCCCTTCTGGGAGCACGGAGCCGCCCCCCATTCTTGCTGTCGGCCCTGCTGCCTTTGATGAATCCCTTTTGAGTCCTAGCAATAGGGCCTGACAGATGCCCTGTCCCCCAGGGCTCCACAGCCAGCCCCGTGCCGGGGGAGGCGCCTCTCCAGCGTGCCAGAGAAGCACCCGCATGCACGGAGACGTCTCTGCGCCGCCTCAGAGCCCATCGCGCCTGCAGGCTCCGGCTGGGGATCCCTCACGCAGGGGCCGGTCCGTGAGGTTCCGGGGGCCTCCCGCTGGCGGCCAGGTGGCCCGGCTCAGCCTTGGCCTTCGCCTCGCGCGTCTGCGTCCTCCCTCGGCCCGATGCCCGACCAGCAACGACGGAGCGCTGCACACTGTGGGGAATTCGAACCTCAGCCCCGCTCGTGAGCGAATGGGCACGTGCGGGGTTTGTTGTTATCCCCCGTCATTATTATCGGCTCCAAACCAGGGCACCCTCGCCTGGCCCTCGGTCCGTGTGGTGGCCTGGGCTGCCCAGAGGAATAACTCTCTTCTGACAAGCGCCCCTCGGGGAGCCCCGGACCTGTGGGCTCCGCAAACCTCCAGTTTCCCTATTGCTCTTCTGCAAGGGCCAGCAGCTTTGTGCACACGCCCTCTTCCCCGCGTGGGACCAGCTCCCAGGAGGGGAGGCTGCCGCCCAGAGCGTGCGTGACTCTCAGAGCGGAGGGACGGCCTCACGCCCCACCTTCAGCTCAGACAGTCGTCAGCTCAGCCTGAAGTTCTCTCCCCTCCTGCCTGCCGTGGAGCTGGCCTGGAACGGAGGCGTTCTCCTCAGAGCTCCACCTACAGAGCAAGCGCCCAAGGAGCGGGCCACCCACGTTGCACTCGGCAAAGGATCAAAACAAGGATCCGGCGGGTGCTCAGAGCAGGGCGGAGATGGCCCCTGAGGGCCTGGTGGGGCTCCCCTTGGCTGGGCGCCTTCTCCCTCTCTCAGTTGCTCAGGCTCCTCACCTGCTTTTCCAGTCACCAGCCTGTCTCCCCAGGCCAGGCGCTGTTGGGGAAGGGCTTTTCTCCTTTCCCCTAGTTCAGGGCTGGCCATAGGGCCGGCAAACGGGACCCATTCCCAGGGCGCTGTAGGCAGAGGGTGAGTGGCAACCGGGCATGGGTGTTGCTGGATAAAGGGGGTGCAGGGTACTGGGCAGGGGGGAATGCTGGAAGCACAGGCAGGAGGTGTTGGGATGAAGGGTGTGCTGTGCAGAGATTAGGGGCAGAGGATGGGGGTGCAGGCATTGGGGAGCCCAT